TATATATATATATATATATATATATAGAAAAAGTGCTTATATTCTCATCATCTTCAGGCGTACGCGTACCGAGGAAGACCCATTCTAATTAGAGTGTTTGTCTTATCGGTCAAGTACTCAGCCACTTCGTTTACGACGTCGTCGTATTGTGCCTAAAAACCCTCAGGACACAAAGGGAAGAAAGGCATATACAAAATGGCGCTGACGCTGCTGCTGCTGCAAGGAAGCAGCTTGCTGTATCCTGCAGTGTATGTAAACTTAAGGTTGGTAGCAAGAAGAAACGCACAAGACCGTCCATAGACTTTGGAGTTCCTCTTGAATGCATGACAACAAGAGGAAATCGCTTAGCTACAGCAAAATCGAGGAGGCTAGGATCGGCCTCTCCTCCGCTGACGTCATTAATCTGCAAACAAACAATCAAAAAATGTTTCTTAATGATCCGTGTGTGAATGCGCTGCATTGTGCTGTTGCTGTACATACACCCCAACCACCGCCACTTACCACGTCAGCCCCTGCAGCTATAGCGGCATCTGCAACAGGCATCCTTCTAGTATCAACAGAAATAAAAACATTTTCCCCGATTTCCTTTTTTAATGTTTCAATTACTGGAACTACGCGTTGTATTTCCTCCTGTACAGACACCTCTCCTTGCACAAACGGGTTTGTTGCTTCTCCTCCCACATCAATGATCTCCGCGCCATCCGTCATCATTTGCTGCGCCTGTTTAACTGCTCCTTCTACGTTATTGTAATACTTTAAACCGTCACTAAAGGAGTCAGGAGTAACATTAAGAACCCCCATTAACCTAGGGCTCTTGGGTTCTTGCAACAGGAAGCTCTTAAGAGCCAGCAGCCCCTCCGCAAAGGCAGGAAGCTGCGAATCATTTGTTGCTGTTCTTTCTTCTAATCTGTACTTCTTCATCACTTCTTTTATCCACCTTAGAGTATCCGATACAGCAGCCTCACTGCCTCCTTTAACTGTCCACAGTTGATGACCATTTAGTGCAAAGCAACGGCGTGGGATTGCAAGGTTGCCGTCGATAGTATATACAGCTCCGGCATCATCAGAAGAGGCGCTTAATGCTTCTTCTCTCTTCCTTAAGCTTGCTAAAAGGAACTCCTTAATCGTCTTGCCTTCGTTGGGATGTACCAAGTCGGGTTGAATGTCGCAGAGGGGGAAAAGGACGAAGTTCCGCTGGTGAAGCCGAGGGTGGGGAAGCGTGAGTTTCTTTGTGTTGACTTGTATGCTCCTTGCCTCTCTATCTTGAAAGAATAAAAGATCAAGATCAAGGGTTCTGTGGAGTCGCACAGCAGTAGGAGATCGGTCTCTGCCGTGTTGTTGTTCTATGGCTTGCAGAGCATCAAGGACAACCTCAGGGTCTTTTATTTCCGTGGTTACTCGCACAACTGCGTTAAGATGCAGCGGTAAGGTAAGATCGTGAACCTCCTTGCCACCAGACACCACGTCATAGCCAGGCAGTGACTCATACAAACAAGAACACCCATCTATCAAACCAACATCCTTCTGAATACTCAAAATAGCACTTTCAAGTATACCCAAACGTAAGTCACCACCAAAATTCGTGCCAAGAGAAATATACGCAACGGATCGTTCAGATTGCTGAGCGGCAGTCGTGCGGTGTATGGACAGATCCGGCGCGTCGGGCTGATGAGCATTCAAGGTGGATCTTCTCATTTTCGAAGAAGAATGAAGAAGAAAACTTTATAATTATGATATTCGATTAATCCATGCCCATAAAAAACGCAAAACAGTGCTCGACGTTTATTCTTGGCTGCACACAGGTAGGCGTCGCAAATGGCGGGAGGACCCTCCTCGGAGGGGGAAAAATCTACATAAAATCCGCTAAGATAGTTGTAAAACAAAAATTGACTTTCTAGCTACAAACTAAGTGCTTTTGTTTCTTAGTGAGGAATAGAAAAGTCAATAGGTCTTCGGGTCTTGTGAGAACAACCCTCCGTTTCTGAAGGAATGAGGAGGAACGCGGTTGCTACGATACTTTTGCCGTTTTTCTTAGAAAAAACTAGCAAATAGTTATTAGTCTAATTATTAATATTGCACACATTTTTTTTTAATTCAGAGGATTAACCAATTAGAGTGTAAAGTTGATGTCGATGCACATGCCAGACACACAGGCTGTGCCGAGTTGTATCGGAGCCCCGTTCAAGCCCATTAAGGGTATAATGCATTGAATAATGCGGATTTGATCTACCCAATCAATTTATTTGTCTCGTTCATATAAGTAGTGGATGAGATAAATTTATTAGCTTTAGTGTGTGAATTCATTTACTAGCGAAGGGCTATTTAGCACTTGAAACCGGCTAGTCGCCAAAGGAGCCCCACAGTCGCATGCGTTAGTCTTTGGGGCTTTATAGGAGCACCGCTGGGTGTAAATACAGGGGAGATGTATATATACATATATTTTCCTATTTGAATGGAGTTAATCAACGGCTACTTTCTTTGGCTGTGTGTCTAAGAAGAGACGAAAGTTTTCTTGCAGTCAACTGGGGCCCCTGGGCACACTGCATGCAAGTGTGTTTCTCGCATCTCTCCTCTTTCGTTCCTTTCTGCTCTTTCGCTTATTCCCCTTTTTGCAATTTCCATTCGCATACAAAATGTCTGTTCCAGCTGCCCCAGAGGGGAAGCCGGCTGCCCCGGGGGCCCCCCAGGCATCTGGCGGGGGTTCGTTTGTACGTCGAGATCAGCTGCTGCAGATTGAAGAAGAAGTCCAGAAACTTTGGGCAAAGGAGAGGCCTTACGATGTGGATAGAGCATCATTAAGACGTCCTGAGACAGTGGTGGCAAATGGATCTTCTGGGTCCTCTGGGGGGGGCCCCCAGCGGGAGCCCCTTTCGAACAAAAACAAGTTTTTTTGCACTTTTCCTTATCCGTACATGAACGGATTGCTGCATTTAGGACATGGATACACGTTATGCAGGGCGGAGTTTCAAGCTCGGTATTATCGCCTTAGAGGAAAGAATGTCTTGTGGCCATTTGCCTTACACTGTACAGGCATGCCTATCCTTGCATGCGCTGATAAACTTAAGAGAGAAATCGAACAGAAGCGCAGAAAGAAGAAAGAAGAAGAAAACCAGAAAAAGAGCGATCAAGAGGTGCAGCATAACACAAATAACACACACCAAAAAGACAAAAAAAAATACACCTCATATGCGCAAATTCTGTGAATTAGGATTTAGGGTTTAGGGTGTAGGCTTTGGGATTTAGGGTTTATCGTTGCGTTCAGGAAACAGACAACACCTCGGACCCAACGAAGTTCAGCAGCAATAAGTCCAAGCTTGTTGCTAAGACGGGGCCAATGGTGAGCGTTTCGCAAACCCTAAACCCTTACTGGTTTCGTTCTTAATGGCAAAAGGAAGCTGCCAGTAGGGCGTAGATTTTGCAGCCAAGCGTCTACAGTTTAGGGTTTGTGCATGCAGAAAACTCAATGGGACATCATGGCTGCTCTCGGCATCCCCGAAGACGAAATCCCCCGCTTTGCTGACGCCAACTACTGGCTGGACTACTTCCCCCCGAGGCAAGGGTTTAGGGTTTAGGGTTTGGGTTTTCTGAGGCGAATAGAACGGAGATTTACTGTATTACCAAACACCTTCATAATCTCGACTTTGGTTTCGAAGGTTTAGCCCGCTGTATTCTGGGGTTTATGTTGGGGGTGTTAGGGTTTAGGGGTTTATAATTTAGCGTTTAGGGTTAAGGGTTTGCGTGCAGGTGTAAGAGGGATCTGATTCGCCTCGGCACGGCAGTTGACTGGCGCCGCTCTTTCATAACCACCGATAGAAACCCTTATTACTCTGCCTTCGTCCGCTGGCAGTTCATGAAGCTCTTGGTACCCTAAACCATTAACTATAAACCATAAACACTAAGCCCTTGAGGGTGTTTCATGTTACCGGCCCCCCGACTTACCCCCACCGAGGGTTTAGGGAATTTCTTTGTCTTCATTGTGTACATCCGTGTTCCCCCACCTTAACATTTTCGCTGTTGTTGCTGCTGTTGTTACTGCTGTTGCTCTATACAGGCAGCAGGGAAAATATCTTTTGGCACGCGACCTACCGTCATCAGCCGACGGGAGTTGCAGGCTTGTGCTGATCACGACCGCCTGCTAGGGGAGGGTGTCGGGCCCCAGGAGTACACCTTAATAAAGTTAAGAGTTAAGACAGAGGAAGCAGCGCATGCGGATACACCCTACGTTAATTTCCTTGACCAGTGGTCACCGCATGCAAAAGGACCACAAGGAGAAAGAAAACTCTTCCTTGTTGCTGCAACACTTAGACCCGAAACGATGTATGGACAAACAAACTGTTATGTCCTCCCCGAAGGAGAGTAAGCTCTGCTGCTGCTGTTGCTGTGGTTCCTGCAACAGCTGCGGCTGCTGCAGCTGCCGTTGGTGCAGCAAGTGTAATGAGAACCGCCGGAGGAAACGCTGCCGCAGGCCATCCCTCCTACGGGTCGAGAGGGTTTAGGGTTTGTGGTATATGGCTTAGGGTTTGTGTTTCTGTGCACGTGTAGGTATGGCGTCTACCTCGCCTTTGACAAACCCCGCTGCAAAACTGAGCCGAATCAGCAACAGGAGCAGCAGGAGCAGCAGACACTGCAGGAGAAGCTAGCAGCCGCTGCAGCAGCAGCAAAATCTGGAGATACACTAGAACACATGATGACACGAGAGGAGGCCCTCGCGGAGTGCAGCATGGCGTTTATTTGCTCTCATAGATCGGCCCTGAACATGGCTTATCAGGCATGAAACCCTAAATCCTAACCGCTAAACCCTAGAGTTGTCCTTCATCAGTTGGCGACTTTGTTGTTCACTGTTTGTTCTGCATTTGTGGATTTAGGGTTTATGGTTTGTTGAACCTCTTGGGCGTGAGTTTTGAGCGTTTCCTTCGTGCCTTGTTTGTCTAGGGATTAGGGTTTAGGGTTTAGGGTTTAGGGTTTGTCTGTGTGGATTTTAGGGTTTAGTACCTTTGGAGCCTGTATCCGATCGTTCTCAAGAGCTGCCTGTCCCGCATTGCCTCTTTTCTATCTCTGGCAAATCTCTCCTTGGTCTCCCTCTCTCTGCTCCTCTCTCTGCCTATGATACTGTCTTCGCTCTTCCTATGCAAACTATCTCACTTGATAAAGGTAACTCCAGCAGCAGCAGCAGCAGCAGCAACAGCAGCAGCAGCAACAGCGGAGTGGTTTACTTTTGTGTGTTTTACCGGATGCATTATCGATGTCTAGATTTGTCGTGAATGTTTAGGGTTTACGGTTTAGGGTTTAGTTTCGTGTGTTGAGGGCCTGGTGTTTAGGGACGGGTGTTGTTACAAGTGTCCCTTCTGATTCCCCTGATGATTTTATTACATTGGAGACACTAAAAACAAAAATAAAATATTATAATGAGTTGTATGGCATTAAAGAAGAATGGGTATTGCCATTTAAACCAATAGAAATTATAGAAGTGCCAGGGTAAGGAGGAGGAGACAGTAAAAAGAAATATAGATAGCAAGAGATTAAAAGGAGACACCCGAACGAGACGTCTCCTTTTTATTCCTACATGCGGGTGTCTCTTCGTCGGTGTTTCTGTCTCTATTTCTGTAAATTTATGTATATACATGCATATACATATTTATATGCATTATGTATGTGTGTATGGATGTATCTCTCTGTATCCATATACCCATATACCTATATATCTATTCTTATATATATATA